GGAAGTGGCACTGTGGCTCAAATGGTAGAGTGTTAGCCTTGAGCTGAAGAGCTGAGGGACAGCACCCAGGCCCAGAGTTCAGGCCCCACAACTGGCAAACAAAAGAAAGAAAGAAAGAAAAAGAAACTGGAGGAGTTAGCTCCCCGGTGGCTCACTCCTGCAATACTAGCTACTCAGGAGGCTGAAATCTGAGGATCGTGGTTTGACGTTAGCCCAGGCAAAGTTTGTGAGACCCTTTTTTCCAATTACCCACCAAAGCAGGGTGCGGGGGAGGGGTGGGGGAGGAGCCAGAAGTGAAGCTGTAGCTCAAGTGGTAGAGGACTGGCCTTGAGTACAAGAGCTAAGGGACAGCATCCAGGCCATGAGTTCAAGCCCCAGGATAGCACAAAAAAAAAAAAAAAGTAAAGAAAAAGAAAAAAAAAAGAAATCAGGGGAGTTTATTGACAAGGAAGTGGTGAAGGGAGAAGAGGGAGAGATCAGGGCCATGTTACATGGTATGGCTTTGAATTTGTTCCAAGTCTGATGACACACTCTATACTATTTTAAGGAGCCAGGAGGAAGCCAACACGACCTCATTTACGATGTTAAGACTTTCTCTACTGCATGCTTTGTTAAGCCACCTTTGCACAGCTGGGGACTGTTGGTCATCTGAGCCTAGAGCACCTGAGCTTCAGATATGACTGGATCGATGTTAAAATGATGCCTTAGTGGCCGCCAGTGTCTCACCCTTGCAATCCTAGCTACTCAAGGAGCTGAGATCTGAGGATCATGGTTCAAAGCCGGCCCAAGCAGGAAAATCTGTGAGACTCTTACCTCTAATCAACCACCAGAAAACCAGAAGTGGCACTGTGGCTCTAAGTGGTAGAGTTCTAACCTTGAGCACCCAGGCCCTGAGTTCAAGTTCCACGACGAACAACAAGAACAAAAAAGAAGCCTTTCAGAACCTCTTTGTCCCTTCAAGGCTGTTCCCTTGGTGCTGGCCTCACTCCGAGGCAGGATGTCTGTGTGCCAAGATGGCCTATCTGTGGTTTAACTCACCTCGGATGCTCAGCAATCCCAGCAGGGAGGGTTCTACTTTCCCAGGGGTGCCAGAAAAAGTCACAAGAAGGTCTTGACTAGCTACATATGAATTTCCTCTTGTGCACACTTAAAACATATTTTGGTGGCTGCTTTTGCTTTAGGTCATTTTTCAGATATAGTTTTATAACCTACATTGTACTCAAAACCATGACATCCCCCCACCCTTGCCTCCAGTGTAGCTGGGATTATAGACATGTACCTCACATCTGGCTTATTGGTTGACATAGCATACTTCACTTATTTTTTGTCTGTCATGGTGCTTGAACTCAGGGCCTGGGTGCTACCTCTGAGCTTTTTGTTGTTCAAGGCTAGCTCCTACCACTTTGAGCCACAGCTCCACTTCTGGTTTTCAGGTGGTTATCTGGAGAAGTCTTATAGCTTTTCTTGCCTAGGCTGGCTTTGAACTGCAGTCCTCCTGTCTCAGCCTTCTGAGTAGCTAGGATTATAAGCATGAGCCACCAGCACCTGGCTCACTTAACTTTTTGTCCAGGTTGGCTACCAATCTCTGCCTCCCAAGCAGCTTGAATGACAGACTTGTGTCACTTCACCCAACATGTTTTTGTCTACTTTGACCCACACCCTGGGATGCTGATAGTCTGTCCAGTTACTAAGGATACAGTCACGTCTACCAGATGTTATGCATGGAGCGGAAGTGTCCTTTTAGAGAGGGGTCTCCTGTTAGAGACTGCCTAAGAGCATTCCTTTGTGCCTGCCAGTGTGGCACACAACTGCCCTTCCTCAGAAAGCCTGGGCTGCTTACAGCTCTGCCCTTAGTACATTAATTTATTCTACTGTTGGTTGCAGTAGGCAGAACCTGTTCACTCCACAGCTGGCAGAGGCTGCTAGGTTGTAGCCTGTAGCAGGCATCACTTGCTTAGTGTTACAGCTCAGCAGCAGACAACGCTTGCCAGTGTTGAAGCTCCACTGTGAACATTGCCATTGGGGCCTTCTCGGGTTCTTGTCTTCAGAGAATGAAGTCCAAGACAATGGAGGATGAGGAGGAAGACTTTCATTCACAGAAGTATGTCAGTAAAGGCCACTGCTGCTCTGTGTGTCTTCTTACCCAATCCATTGTGTAATCTGTGTCCAGGGGTTGGTGATTGGTTGCCCCTACGAAGTTGAGGTATAGATCTGATCAATCAGAGAAGACCTGCAGTCACTGTGGGTCTGCAGACCTGAATAGATCTCAGTTAGGACTATGAAGAGCTAGGAAGGATGGTGGTGGGACATTCTATTCTTTATAACTGGGATTAAAAAAAGAATCTTGCATTGTCCATAGCCTGGTCTCAGCCAGACTATGGTCCCTGCCAAGCCAGCAATGCCTTCCACTGCAAGATGTCCTCCAGGGGCCTTCGCCCCTGACTAATCTACTGAACCTTTTAGCTTTTTCAGCTAAATCTGTCTTTTTTCCTCTCAGATCTTCCCAAGAAGTAGATTTGAGAGAGGCTGCTGTCTGGGGATGGGAAGTATAGTTGAAAGGTCTACTCTGGGATCTTTGGCTAGCTTCCCCAACCTAGGTGGCTGCCTAGGTTTAGGTAAGTCCTGACTGGACAGGTTGGTTGCTCTGGCCTGAAACCATAGGTTTAGGGTGCAGCAGGCCTGTCCTGTCTGTGAGCTGAGAATGACTTCACGGCTGGCCATCTACCTCTGTGATGGCACCAGGGTGTGGAGGTGTGGGGTTGTGGGTAGTCCTGTGAGCCTGGGACTGACAGGGATGGAGGTGTGGGTCTTTTGCAGGGGAGACTAGGGTGGGGCCTGGATCCCAGGGGCAGAAATGCCCTTCCCCCAGAGAGGAGGTGACACTGCCCAGCGGGTGCCTGCATGACCACAGAGATGTTAAGACACCAGCGGCTCCAGCCATAGCTTCTCTACCTGTCAAAGTGTCAGTCTAGTGAAGCCTCAGCACTGTTGTGAACAAGGCATACCTCTCAGCCCTGTTCTGTAGACTTTTGAGTTCAGAGAGGTGAAGTTACCCACCCAAGGACACATCTTGTGCCTGGAGCCACCTAGGCTTCTGTAGCTGTGGGCAGGCTGGGCTCAGGCCTGTTTAGGCAGGGTGGCAATCTGGAAAAGGCAGGCTGCAATTTGAAAAACCTGTGCAGTGTGGACAGAATGAAAAGTGCATGGAAGGGTTTTCTCTGGAGAAGGAACCAAAAGAAGAAGAAGCAAAACCCTAAAGGCAAGTGCGGGGGACATTTGGGATAGGGCTGGCAGCCTGGCAGGGGGCCTCAGCCCTGAGAGGTGTGCTGAGGGACAGACCATACCATCTTTTGGGGCTCAGGACTCCCAGTGTTTGCTAGGATAGCTGGGAAATGACCATCTCCTGCTGCCTTCTGGGATTGGGAGGGCCAAGATGGGGGATATAAAGTCTGATAGCCCAGGGCCCCAGAGGCAGGACTGGAGGACACAGAAGCACAGGAAGCTCTTCCTCTGGGACCTACATGAGGGTCCCACTGGGCCAGGGCGGCTATGATGGACAGGAAGCCAGCCATTCCTTCCGTGGGCTGGCCAGAGAATGGGCTCTGTGTGCACCACAACAAAAGGCTTTTCTGCCAAATGGAGGGGGAGGAAGAGGCCTGGCCAGCTCAGCCTGAAAGGAGGCTCTATTGGAGACCCAGGGGTCTCAGATCCAAGAATGTTTCTGTCCTCCTCTTGGCGGCCCCAGTAGTGCAGGACTCCTGCAGATCCACCTGGGTCTGGTCCCAGCAATGGGGTTTCCTAGCTCTGTGACCCTGGCTAAGTCACTACCTTCTCTGAGGCCCATAAAACGTAAGTGAAGAACATGCTGGTTGGCTGGGGCCAGCACCACACAGCATGTGTCGAGCATCCTCTGTTCATCCCCATAGCTGACCACCCTCTAAGGCCACTGTACTAGCACAGGACTGGGCTAAACCCAGGTGTCAGAGGCTTTGAAGCACCAAGCTGCACAAATGAGAGAAAAGGCTGGAAGGAAATGCTCAGCTGGGGGAGTTGTGGTCACACTGTTTTTGGTTTCCTTTTAATGCTTTCATTCTCTCTCTCTCTCTTTGGTGGTACCAGGATTGAACTTGGGGCCTCACACCTTAATTCTTTTACTTGGAGATTAGTGAAATGTAAAGGAGGGGAAAAAAGATGTGGAAGGGACAGGGGCCCTAGTGAATTTATAATCATATTCAAAAATAGAACAAAAACACTGTAAACCCAGTTACTAGCCAGATGGAGACTGGGAGGATCATGGATTCAGAACAGCCTGAGTAGAAAGCTAGCATGACCATCTCAAAAACAAGCCAGGTATGTTGGGTCACACCTGTAATCTCAGCTACAGGGAGGTACAGGTAGGATACCATATAAGGCCAGCACAGGCCTTACAGAGAGGGTTTCAAACCCTCTCTGTAAAACAACTGAAAAAGCAAGAAGAGCTTGGGGCGTGGATCAGGTGGTAGAGAGCTTGCCTACCAAGTGGAAAGCCCTGAATTCAAATCCCAGTAGTGTACAAACAAACCATTGAATCAAGAACTAGTGGCTCCTCATGCCTGTAATCCTAGCTACTCAGGAGTCTGAGATCTGAGGAGTATGGTTCAAAGCTAGGCTGGGAAGGAAAGTCCGTGAGATCCATATCTCCAATAAACTCCAAAATAAAAATAAAGAATCCAAAAGTGGAGCTGTGGCTCAAATGATAGAGTACTAGTCTTGAGCAAGAAAAAGCACCCAGGCCTTGAGTTCAAGCTTCAGGATGGACACACACACACACACACACACACACACACACACACACACACACACACACACAGACTCCTGTGGAATGTGGCTTGGGGTCTCTGGGCATGAGGGAGGCAGGACTCAGCTTTCCACCCTTGCTGAGATCCCTTCCACCAGAGGGCCTGGGAAGACCTGGACCTGGGAAGGGTCTGAACCTTTTGCTCTAGGGAAGTGCTTCAAATACTTTCCCGAGGAGCAGAGGTGCTCCTCCAGGATGGGACAGAGCCTCACCACTCAGAGGCCAGTGAATACTGCTGTGGCTCCGGTGTCCCTGGGTAACAGGCTCTTCCTAAGGCAGATCCAAAAGTATGGGGGCCCTATTTGGGCCCCTTCAAGACAAACGCAGGCATCTATGATAGCCCTGTGGCTCAGGGTGAGGAGCAGCCAGGGCAGGAAGACGCTGCACAGCCCTGGGTGGGCTTCTGTCCTCTGTCCTCTGTTTCTCTGGCTGTGTCCGTGCCACAGGTACTTCCCTGTGTGCTACAGACAGAAGTACATCGAGAGAACTCTAAGCAGCAACCTTCCCCGGGTCAGGAAAGCAGAAACACACTCAGTTAAGGTGCCACAAAGAAAGGAGATACCTGGGCATAAATAAACAAGGAGGGTAGGACTGACAGAGGACTGTGTGGCTGGGAGATGGCCAGCCCTGAGCACCAGGTGGGAAGGAGGAGCGATGGGCAGGGGGCAGAGTCAGTCAGGCCCAGGGGGTGGAGCCAGTCAGGCCTAGGGGGTGGAGTCATACCCACTCCTGCAGGGAGCGCTTGCAGTAGAGCAGCACGCGAGGCGCACCTTTGCGCTGCAACTGTACCAGTGCAAAGGCCAAGCCCAGCACGCACAGCAGCAGCAGCAGAGGTACCAGCACCATGACCACATTCACCGTCCGAGCCACCTCCTCCATCTGCACCACGACTCGAGTACCCCCCTCCTTGTCCTTGTCCCTGTCTCTGTCCTCACCAGCCCCACCGCCCACAGTGCCATCTGTGCTGTCACCATCCACCCCAGGCTGTGCATCTCCGTCGGGGTTGAAAGGTGGACGTGCCACATCGGGCCATCGGGGTCCAGTGTCCACGTGTTCCTGGCAGCCCATGAAATCTCTCAGGATGGACTTGGGGTAGCCGGGTTCCATCCTCAGGCGCTCGTTGTCAAATTTCCAGTATTTGGTGCCCTTGTAGAAGTAGGTGTAGGCTGTGGGGACAAACAGGCCCAAGTGGCTTCAGGTCTGGCCCAGCCCACCAGCCAGAGACCCTCCCCAACTAGGTCCAACAGAAAGGGCCCCAGCTTTAAGGACCCTCCTTGGGACTGAGGCTGTTTGTAGCCTAGTGATAGATGGCTTGCTTAATGTATACAACCCTGGGTTCCAGCATCAAAACTAAAATGAAACAAAAAGGTGGGCATGGTGGTCCAAGCCTGTAATCCTAGTTACTTGGGAGATAGAGGCTGGAGGATCAGGAATTTGAGGTCGGCCTGCAAAAGTTAGCAAGATCCTATCTCAAAAATGAAAGGGAGCTGGGTGCTGGTGGCTCATGCCTGTAATCCTAGCTACTCAGGAGGCTGAGATCTGAGAATCACGGTTCAAAGCCAGCCCGGGCAGGAAAGTTTATGAGATTCTTATCTCCAATAAACCACCAGAAAACTGGAAGTGGTGCTGTGTCTCAAGTGGCGGAGTGCTAGCCTTGAGCTGAAGAGCTGAGGGACAGTGCCCACACCCAGAGTTCAAGCCCCATGACCGACATTAAAACAAAGGGGGGTTAGGGCTATGGCTCAAGTTGTAGAACACTTGCCAAACAAGGGACCCTGGGTTCAATATCCAGCATTGCAAAACACACAAAAACACACCCCCTTTCTACTTGTTTCTCTGAGTAGTTTGAAATCTGCCTCTTTGCAACTTATAGAAGAGGTCTAGCTCCAGGGTGACAGGGCACAGAAGGGACCTGCAGCTGCTGGTTTAAGGCTGCCATCAGGTAGCCCTGCGGCCTGGCCTGGGATTAGCTTCTTCCCACAGAGCAGGAGTCGTGCTGGCTGTGCAGCCTGGAGCCCACGTGGACCTGGGGTGCAACTTGACACTACCTTGGCCTGGCTCTGTGTCCTTGGGCCTCTGGCCTGCATCCCATTGACACTGAGAAGGGCCAGGTTCAAAGCAAGGGGTGAACTCTGTGCCCTGCTGAGCATGTGACCAGAGCAGCTGCACACTGACTTGCCCACACACGGAAGCCTATGACTAGCGGGGCACTGGCAAAGCAGGCTCTCCCCGGAGCCTATCCAACCAGAATCAAGACCTGGGGTGAATGGTTTTCTTAATTGCCCTAGGCATCCTGACTGAGAAATAAAAGAGCCATGGCTCTCTGTAGCTCAATTATAATGACAGAGACCAGGCTTCTATTCCGGGCTAACAGGAGATGCCCAGAGAGGGGGCCCGGTCCATCACACATTGAGCCATGCCCACCTCCCAGACACTGGGACGCAGAGCTGCTGTGCTGTGTGGGCAGCAGGGCATTCTGAGCATCTAGCTATGCATGTGAGTCACCCTGAGCTGGCATTTGTCCCCCCCACTCCCAACCCCTGAGCCCTTTGCTCACATTCTCTGTAATAATGCAGGGAGGGCCAGAATGGCCTGACAGGCCTGGGTGTCCCAGGCATACCCAGGCAAGAACTGTCTCCCATATGTATGTGGAGGAGAGGCTGGCTTGGTACCTGCATCACTGCTCAGGAAGGCTCCTTTTGGGGAGATGGGGACTCCCTGCCAGACGCTGATGGGCTTGGGGTAGCCAGGGTCTCCATGCTGCGTCTCCTCATTGAAGCGCCAATACCTGTGACCAGAAGCACCAGGCTGTGGACTTACAAGTCCCGCTTGGCTGGGCCCATCTCCCTCAGGCAGCAGGCTCTGGCTAGGTAGGCCAGAGGGTGTTACCTCCTATCATTAGAGAAGGGGAGCTCTGCTAACCTGTCCTCCTGGAAGAAAAACGTGTGGCCCGTGGGCTCCCACCAGATGGCCGTGTCAATGCGGTCATACGGGATGCCCAGGCCATAGCTGGTCAATGGCTGGGGGTAGCCAGGCTCCAGGTTCGCTTCTCGGAAGAGCCAATAGCGGTCACCTGCAGGAAGAATCAGAGAGGAAGGGCCGAGGTTGAGGGTATACATGGTGAGGGCCGGGCACAGGAAATGCTCTTCTGGGCCCAAAGACCATTCATACAAAAACTTGCAACTGGGTGCTACTCAGGAGGCTGAGGATCATGGTTCAACGTCAACCCAAACAGAAAAGTCTGTGACACTCTTATCTCTAATACTATTCAGAAAAAGCCAGAAGTGGCACTGTGGCTCAAGGGGTAGAAAGCTGGTCTTGAGCAAAAGAAGCTCAGGGATAGTGTCCAGGCCCAGAGTTCAAGCCCTAGGACCAGCAAAACAAACCAAAAAACTTGCCCATCTCAACACACACATGCACACAGCATGCTTGACCTTCATACACTCAGGACAATATAACATAACACAGCTCACTTATGTCTACACAGAAGGTACTAAACTAATGCCTGACACTCCTACCAACAGGCTACACATGGGGTCTCTTCCTGACCTCAGAGGTTCAGAGGAATCAACCTATCTTTCTTTCCTTCCGTCCCTCCCTCCTTTCCTCCCTCCCCCCCTCTCTGTGAGTGTCTCTCTCTCCTCTCAGTTACTAGGGCTTACTTTTTTTTCAAGGCTGGTGCTTTACCACCTGAACCACAACTCCACTTGCAGTTTTTGCTAGTTAATTTTAGATAAGAGTCTATACAGGGCTGGGAAGGTAGCTCAGTGGTAGAGCGCTTGCCTTGCATGCATGAGGCCCTGGGTTCGATTCCTCAGCACCACATAAACAAAAAGAAAAAAGCCGGAAGTGGCTCTGTGATTCAAGTGGTAGAGCGTTAGCCTTGAGCTGAAGAGCTGAGGGACAGCGCCCAGGCCCAGAGTTCAGGCCCCACGACCGGACCCCCACCCCCCAAAAAAAAAAGTCTATACAGACTTTCTCACCTGGGCTGACTGAATCTTGATCCTCACATCTCAGCGTCCTGAGTAATTAGGATTATACATGTGAGCCCTCCGCATGCCTGACACAACCTGCTTTTAGTGTGAACTGAATCCTGTCTTCAGGGAACTCTGCCTGAAGGCTCAAGCTAGCAGGGGCTGGAGACCATGGATCCATTGAGGGGGCTTCTCCTCAATGTTCTGCAGACACACTATAAAATTCCTGCCCAGTGGGCTTAAGGACTTGGTTAGGAGGGCCAGGCTACTCTTAAAAGAACCCATTCTTTTTTGTTGACTTGTCTTATTTTGGGGGATCTTAAGACATAGTTGCACTGGACAGCCCAAGCTAGCCTCAAAGTCTCCATCCTCCAGCTTTAGTACTAGGATTACAGATGTGAGCAATCAAGCCCAGCCAGGAACCCATTCTTAGGAAGGAAGAGGGAGGAGGGAGGGAAATGAGGCTAAGCCTCTGTGCTCAAGATGATACACTGTTACTCATTCCAAACTACATGGCCTCTGGATTTCAGGGCCGGAGGTCAGCCAACTCCCAGGCTTGTATCTCTCCACCCTCACCTGGCTGCCAGGCTCTCAGCGTCCCCGTCTCTTCCTCCTAGAGTGAGTCCACAGTGTGGACACAGGACCACACATAAACTATAGCCCTTTACCTTTCTCTTCTCTAACTCCAAAGATCAGGTCTTGAAGGCTACCTAGCCTCCACTTACCTTTGAAAAAGACAAAACGCCCATCCTGGCGTTCGTAGGCTGCACTGATGTCACTGGGCAAACCACGCCAGAAATGGCCAATGGGCATAGGATAGTTGTCCAGGACACGGTTGTGCCGGACTCGCCAGAACCAGCGTCCCTGGTGGGGGGGAGATGGATGTTGGTGGGCAGCATATACAAGCTTCCTTGGTTGGGGGACCTCCACCCCCATAGAAGGCAGGGATGGAGAGGGGAGGGTTACTAAGGCACCACACAGTGTAAGGAGAGCCGGGGCAGTCCTGGGGAAACCCTCTGGGCTAGAAGAAGGCACTTGGACTTGCTACATGACCTTTCCAACTGGAAAGGGTCTGATGGCCCCCAGGGGCTGCTGAGGGGTGGCAGGCAGTGCCCAGGCAGCCAGGCAGGCAAAGGCCTGGGTGGGCTGAGCAGGAGCAGTCCTGCTCTAAGCCAGGGACTGAGGGAGGCAGCTGGAGGCTGGGGCCACACCTTGAACACGAACATCTCTCCTCGAAGCATGGCCACTGTGTCAAAGTTCCCATCACAGATGTTGGGGCCGTACTGGTCTGGTCGCTCTGTGGCTCGGGGCTGGACAGGGGGGCCTGGCCTGGGGGGCCGGTCTGGCTTCCCTCCTGGAGGTGGTGGCTGTGGGGGTCGAGGGGGCCTCTGATCTGGCCGGCCTGGTTGTCGGGGTGTCACAGTGGGAAGAGGCCGGGTGGGATGTGGTTGACCATCTGGGGTGCCTGCAGAAAGAGGTGGGGAGGAGCAAGAAATGAGAACAGCCCAACCCCAGAAACCAGGCCAAATGCAATGTTCTCCTACTCAGAGTCTGTGGCCCCAGGGTCCCTGGACCATCTGGCACACACAAAGGTAAAGGTCCTGTCTGTTCACAGCAGCCCCTCGCTCACCCAATATCATCCTGAGGGGGTCCTGACACCTCCTTTGTGCAACCTCCTCATCAATCTTCCCACTGGACCCCAGTCTCTGCTTTCCCTAAGGGAGTTCAGGGTTCATGCAGAGCCCAGGCCTTGACCCTCAGAACTGGGCCTCGCGGAAGTGTAGCGGGAAAGATGGCACCTGGGACGGCAGGACCCCTATGGTCTAGAAGGAACATGGCAAAGGCTGAAGAAAAAAAGCCCTGTCACCTGTGTCATCTGCCCATGTGGCTCTGAGTGAGGCCCAGGCCATCGCCAGCCCTGGGTTTGACACCATCAGTTACTGAGGGGCCCAGGCAAGTGGTCATCTACAGAAGGGGTCAGCAGCACAGCCTGTCTTGTAGGGCTGGGAGGTGAGATTGGCGGGGAACAAAGGCCTCTTACCATAGAGCTGCTGGATGCCTCTCAGGTCATCCTCAGGCAGTTGGAAGTTGTCTGTGTCCATCCACTGGTAGAATGGTGCCATGATGGCATTGGGGTTGCTTGAGTGCTCCAGCCCTAGTGCATGGCCCAGCTCATGCACCGCCACCAAGAAGAGGCTGTTTCCTGTGATGGGGCAGGCAGCATAGTCACTCTGGGTTGGTCCAGGATCTGGCCACCCACTCTGGATGGAGGCTGACACAAGATCCTGCCCTTGCTTCTGATGTTAGCCTATCTGAGACATGGGTTCAACTAACCCTTATTTTCCCACCTGGCCTAGACTGAGGCCAAGTTCAGGGCTCCAGAGACCTGAACAGGGGGACATGCTCCCCTCCTGAACCAGTAACTGCTGAGCCCGCTAGCAGGGACTGAGCCTACTTGCAGGGGCTGGGCCCTGCTCCAGCGTTGCCTGCCTGCCCTGCCCCTACCCTAGCCAGCTGTCCTTACCATGCAGGTCGGTGCTGGAGTAAGTCCAGGGTTCATCTGCATCAAAATGGGTGTCCCCACCTAGGCCAGGGCCGGGGAAATAGGCATGAGCCAGAAAGCCACCTGTGCCATCAAATGGTGAGCTGTCACCGTGGAAGCCAGAGGCAAAGAGTACCATGATGTCAGCCTCCTTCTGCCTCCGTAGCTGGATGTCATCGTAGGGCACCTCTTCGAAGGCCAGGGGGGTGGCCTGCTCCCATACTTGGAAGGCCCTGCGCACCGCCTCCAGCGAGTGGTACCAGCCCAGCTTCTCCGTGTAGTTCTGAATGCTGCAGGTGGGAGGGGGGGAGATGTGAGGATGTGAGTGGATGCACAGCCCTCAGGCTACTGTCCTCTCTGTCCAATGCCAGCATGTTCTCTGGCAGCACACCAGGCCGTCACTGCTGTTACCGTACTTTGACGTGTACTAGGACTTCTCAAACCCCATAGCTCATTAAAAGATCACTGAGTAGGCTTGCATTGGGGCAGATAAGGCAGGAAGTAAATGAACGTAGGGAAGGGCCTAGGAAATGGGGTACAGGTGGCTGAGGTTTGGGAAATAGGCCAAGGAGTTCTAAATGCTAACCCATGTTCAAGGCCTGGTTCCAATTTATCTCTGGGGTTGAATGCAAGTGACTTAAATCTCTGAATTTCAGTTTCTTCATCTGCAAGACAGAGGGCAAGGAGTGGTCATTTCTCTCTAGCCTGAAGGCCAGGTGGCCCGGAGTCTGCCCATGATGGGGAGCTCAAGTCAGATGGAGTATGCTGCTGCAGATTCTTCCAGAAAATGTGAAAGGAAGTTTGACTGGTGTGCCACAAGTTAACTCCAGGACCTGAGCTCCAAATGATCATGAGAGCTGGGGAGTTCGTTGTTGTGGTTGTTTATTTTGAGACAGGGTCTCAGTATGTAGCCCATGCTGACCTTAAATCACAAAAAATCCTCCTGCCTGAACTTCCTGGTGGGATTACAGGTGTATATCATCATGCCTGCTCTTCCTTAGGAGATAGAGCTCAGGGAAGGGCTGTGCCTGGAAGGGAACTGTTGGGGACTACCACTTTAGGCTAGAGTTGCTCAAGGATTTAACAGAAAGGAAGAGGCTTGCTGCTTGGCATTTAATGGATACCTGAACCCAAACCTGGCTTTCCACCCAGACCTTACTGATGCAGGAGCGCACAGGGTCTGAGCCCACAGCTCAGACTGCTGGCCAGCAAGGGGCAGGGAAGGACAAGGCAGAAGAAGCTTAGTGAGTCCTAGCCCTCCCTGGACGGATGCTGCGTAGATCGCAGTTGGATATGTCAGCATGGCAGCGGATGGGACCATCTACAATGGGCCCCTGTGGTGGTTGATGGGAGAGGAAGCCTGGGGCTCAGCCCTGACTTAGGCCAGCTCCCTGGGACAGTTGTTACCTGAAGGTCAGGTGGCGGTTGTTCCACTTCCTCCCAGTGAGGGCATAGCGTTTCCGCCGCCTTCGCAGATTGGCTTTCACATGCACCCCGAACTGGTCTGGCACCCCACAGCGGGGCCGCTTCATCCACCTGGGCCGTGGGTATGGAGGGGTGAGTTTGGAGCCTTCCCAGCACACATGCTTGCTAATAAGGCTCCACCTCTTCCAGGCAGTCCATCTCTTTCCAGATCCCCCCCCCCCCACATCCCACCCCAAATCAGGCTCCATCACAGGGATGTGATAGGGAGACTGTAAGTATGAGTTACATAGGCACAGTGGTCCTGTGTTAGAAGACAGGGCCCACAAGTGGCTCAATAAAGATGCCACCCAGGCACTGGAGGGGTGTTCTAGAGGCCTCCTGTCCCTAGTTAGTCACACTGTTTCTAAAGGTATCATCACCTCCATTAGAATCAGAGCAAGGCTTTGTGGGATAGAGCTTATGTACTGGGCCTCCCTATTGTATGCCTGTGGCAGACATCACTAATCAATCACTACATTCTTGCTGCCAACCCTGGATTCTGCCTCTGGAGATTTCTCAACACAAGGCTTCAGGCAACCACTTGGAACTGGCATGGAGGGCCAAATCATTTCTTATCTAGGCCACTCTTTTTCTGGAAACACCACACATGGAGCCCTCCTGAAAGCAGGTGTTGTGGGGGTCCCGGAGGGAGCAGGTGGAAGGGACTCACTCCTTGGTCTCTTCATCCAGCACACCCGTGACGGGGATCCCATAGAAGCGTTGCATCTCTGCAAGGGCGGAGGCCAGGATCTGAGCCGAGCGCATGGTGGACATGTGGCGGCTGGGCTGGGGCAGGTAGCCATAGAGCCGCAGCCAGTTCTGCAAAGAAGTATCATTCTATCAGCCAGTCCTGGCTCTAATACCTCCAAATAGGCACAGCCAGCCTCAACCAACCCTCACCACCTCCACTCTCAGCCTGGAAGAGCTGCCATCATTTCCTGCCTGGGCCCATGTGAACCTCTGTACTGTTCTCACCCAACCTGCAAGGCAGGTTTTGCTCAATCCTATTTATAACCCTTAAGTCTCCCCCCCTCAGAGGAAAAGCCCATTCTTTTTTTTTTTTAATTTTTTATTGTAAAGATACTATACAGAGGGTTACAGTTACATGAGCAAGGTAATGAGTACACTTCCTAACTAGCATTGTTACCCCCTCCATTGTTTTCCTCCTACCATCCCCTCCCTCCCTACCTTCCCCGAGGTTCTTTTTTTTTTAATTGTGATTAAGTGATTACATAATTTCCCAAATTTCACAGTATTGTGGAATAATGATGCTCATTTAAAGTCACAAGTTCATTCTAACTTTCCTGGAGCAAATTGTCTATCACAGTCTATAACATATAATGGTGTACACATATACACCATACATGTGATCAGCAGCATAGGGGTATTTAGTAGTGGTTCGACCAGATAAGTGGGAGTTCTTTGTTTCTTAAGTCCTGTCAATTTTGTCGTATCACCTAACATTTTGGATTTAGCATCCACTTATCAGGGAGACCATGTACCGTTTGTCTCTTTGCTCTTAGCTTACCTCGCTCAACCTGATTCCTTCTAGCTCCATCCATTTCCCTGCAAATGCCATTATTTTGTCATTTTTAATGGCTGCATAATATTCCATTGTGTATAGATACCACAATTTTTGTATCCATTCATCTGTGGTGGGGCATCTGGGTTGTTTCCATATCCTAGCTATTGCGAACAGTGCTGCAATAAACATGGAGGTGCACGTATCCTTGTATATTGGTTCCTGTTGTTCAGGGTAGATGCCTAGAAGTGGTATGACTGGGTCGTAAGGGAGGTCAATCTTTAGCTTTCTAAGGACCCTCCAGACTGGAAAAAGCCCGTTCTTTAGGAGGTACTGGTCCCTCATTACCTCATTCTGCCTTAGTTCTTCTGAGCTCACTCCTCCATCCATCAAGCTAGGTAGGCTTCAGCCTCAGAAACTTTGTACTGGCTGTTCCCATTGTCTATTGCCTCCTATTCCTTCAAGTCTTTGCTTTAACATTTCCTCATGGTGTAGAGAAGATCCTACTGGTTTACCTTCTGCCCCTTGTCCTCATGGCCTGCACTTATCACCATCCGACATACAATATACTCCACTTTGCCTAGCTACTCAGGAGGCTGAGATCTGAGGATTGCAATTTGAAGCCAGCCTAGGCAGGAAAGTCTGTGTGAGACTATCTCCAATCAACTTCTCTGAAAAAGCCGGAAGTGGTGCTGTGGCCCAAGTGGTAGAGTGCTAGCCTTAAGCACAAAGAGACTTAGGGACAGTACCTAGGCCCTGAGTTCAAACCCCAAGGTCAACAAAACAATTAAAATTGAAGAAAACATTCTCCACTTAGGTGATTATGGTTCACTGTCCCCATTAGAACGAAGCTGTGTCCATGAGCACAGTCTATAGTAGCGGCCCTCATTACTACACTGGCCCCTCCAGAGGGAATCCCTATGGCTTCAAACAGGCTGCTAAGGACCCTCATGGATTCAGAATCTTTCAAGATTCTAGCCTCTCACCATGCAGGAAAACCAGCCCTGACATTGCTGCCAGCAGACCCTGACATTTCCAGGAGGAAGGAGAGAGGGTCAGGCACCATCCATGCCTAAGAGGATGGGACAACGGCTTGAGGCCCAATCCTTCCTCTGCTACAAACTCTTTGGTGTGTCTGGGACTCTGTTTCGTCATCTGCCAAACAAGGAACACTGTGAGATGTGAGGGCCACAGCATCTAGCAAACAATGGGGGATGCACATCTCTTTGCAGAGCTGGCTGGGAAAATCTTAGTCACTGTTCATCTATTAGCCAGTCTGTCCATCTATCTGCTCACCCATTCTTCCTACCAGTGCTTCTGAGTACCTTATCCCTACCAGGTAACATGCCAGCTGGGAGTTGGGCTGGGGGACACAGCCAAAGTATTCTGTCCTCTAAGGCTTATGGAGCCCACAGAGGAGACTTTTAAGTTTTGCAAGTCTTGGAGCAGATGAGTTACTTGAAGACACAGAACTGTGAGCCTGGCTGAGTAATGGTAAGAAGGAGCCTTTGGTCCTGCCCGCCTGTGCCCTTGAGGCTAAGAACATGGTATTCATGTGGGAGGTGGGGAACAGAGGCCAGAGGCTGCTAAGGGCCTTTGGCCACATGCAAGCCTGTCCTTCCTACCTTTCTTGATCACCAGAAGGCCTGCTCTGAGTGATTCTGAAACGGAAGAGGTGTCTATCCCAAACCCTGAGGCAAGATAAAAGCTAGACACAGTGGCTGCCCTGGGCGGGGCTCATGCCCACACATCTGCCTGCCGCCAATTGTCACATCCAACTCCTCAGGCAATTGCTTCCTCTGTGTGTCTGCCCAGTCCGAGCCAGCCCAGCCCTGCCCAGGCCCAGGCATGGTGAGCAGAGTGTCTGAGCTAGTCATAGGTTGGGTGTGCAGGCACCTCTCCGGAGCAGGAAGGCAGAGTCACAGCAAGGCAGAGGCTTGAGCTGAGATGCCCAGAAAGCTGGGCAAGTTGGACCTGGCCACATGGAGATGTGACTCCATGCTTCTATGCTCCAGCCCGGCCTCACTAAGAGGCTGATTAGGGCCTGTTGCAATCCTAGCAAAGTGCCCAGTAAGTGTACAAATGGCAGAGGCCAGGGACCTATCTGATTGTCTCTAGTGCTGGCAGATTTCTGCCTCTCTCAATAAGACTGGAAGATCCCCTCAACTGGCCAGGCTCCAACAGAGCCATTGTACAGGGCAGCTGGAGAGGAGCAGCCCCTCCCCCTTCCACCACTCTCCTTGTCTCTGTCAGCTGCTGGCCTTGTCCTTCTTAAGCTCTGAATCCCACCCTCTACCCCCTCCCACTCCCTATGATGGGTGGTTGTGGACCCCCTTGTGAATGTGGTTTTCCTGGAGAGGTGTGGGGAGGCCAGAGGGCATGCCCACAGGCTTGGCCAGCTCTTGACAAAAGGCATCCAGCTGGAGGTGGGATGGGGGGGGCTGGCTGCTGACAGATGAGGGCACCTCTGCATCACCTATTTGCATAAGGTAAAAATATCTCGGGAGCGCAATCACAGGCCACCCGAGGAGCTGATTAGCTTGTCTGCAGAACTACAGGGGAGATGGGGGAAGGGACCTGTCTGCAGCAGAGAGCTCCGGGGACCAGTGGGGGGACAGGCCCGTGCCAGCTCAGGGACACCAGGAAGTTCCCAAGGGTGTGCGTGAACCCTCCTTTGCACAGACAAGCCCCCCGTTGAGTCCCCAGGAAGCATGCTGGTGACAAGCCTCTCTGCCGGGTGGGAGGGAGGCTGAGGGACTCTGGTATCTTCCATGGTGGTGGGGGACAAAGCAGAACTGCGGCCTTGGCATAGACTGCACAAACCTCCGACGCCATGGTGAAGCTAGACTAGAGCAAGCATGTGCTCAGAGTAGCTGAATGCCAAGTGCCAATAAATCTGCCAGGCGGCCGCAGACACTACCCATAGGGGCTTTTCCTCCTTCCTGCCACTCTACCTCATGGTCAGTGTGGGAAGCTTAGGCATGGAGGCCATGCTGGTGGGACCCCAGCTGGGTGTGGGGCTGGCACAGGGCCTGGGCTCCACTACCCGCAGGGCAAAGGAAGGGAACAAGTCTGAGGTTGTGACCAGCCAGTCCCAGAGAGGGAGAGGGGAGGCTGTGTTCAGCTGTTGTACCTGGCTGTAAAAACTGCCCCTTTTCATGTCACAGGAAGGGTGAGTTACATAGGCGAAGCAATGTTTCTCAAGCAGGGAAACTGAGGCTCAGGGCAGTCAGTAACGGGCAGAAGAGTAGGAAGAGTGAACCAGGGCATGTTGGTCACTATCCATTGAGATGAGGGGAGGAGGATGGGATGGGGGGGGTACTCTGGGGCCACTGGGCCCATTCCATCAGCAGCCTGAGTTTGGTTGCTGCAGGAGACCCTAACAATGCGACTCCCAGCCATTGCTTTCTTGAGCTCCAGACCCCATCCTATAAGTCATTACTGACACCACATTTAATGCTCACCACCCTCTCTGAGAGAGTAGTGAGCATTCCCATTATACAGATAGCAAGGTTCAGAGAGGGTGCATTGCCCACAGAGGGCCAACACAGCTGATCTAGACTAGAACTAAACCAGTCAGCCTAGGCTGTTTCTGAAGTGCCACTCAGACTCCTCTTGGCCCGAGGCAGGGACACTGGTCCTTCTCAGAGCACTGGGGGAGGGTATCTAATCCTCTCGGGCTGGGTCTGGGCACCGAGCCACATCAACCCTCTCCCAAGACTGCTGAGATAGTACTGGACAAAGCAGGCCGGCAGGGAGAGCTGGTCTGAGAGAGATCGATATCGTGCCATAAGCAGCTGTGGGGGCAGGGCAAGGGGCCAGCTCCTCTGGCCTCTTATCAGACCCTGGGTGATCATGGCCTTGAACGGGCCACACCATGCCATCCCCTGCCTCATATTGCTGCTGTGGAGCACTTGTGGGCCAAGGCTCTGCACGCCAACTCATGCTGCTGACAGAACAGAGGCGGGAGACACCCTCCCACCAAAGGGAACCCAGAGAGACTATCGTGGTTAATTGGAGATTCGTCTCACAGTCCCATTCTTACTCACAGTCTTTTAAAGCTGTCAGCCCAGCTAGAGCCACTCTGAGGCCTCCAGGGACCACAGCTGGGCCAAGGATTCATCCAGCCCAACCTCCCAGAGACAGGCTCCAGCTCCACACCAGGCAGGCTAAAACCACCGGAGAAGAGCCACCCTGGAAAGCTCTTTCCCAGGCAGAGCTGTCTGTCCACCTAACAGACCTCTGGGAAATGGACTGTGACTAAAACAACTCCTTCCCTCCTCTGCAAATGGGGTCA